CAGGAGTTTGATTTTTTAAATATTTATATTTATTATGTATACAATATTCTGTCTGAGTGTATGCCTGCAGGTCAGTAGAGGGCACCAGACCCCATTACAGATGGTTGTGAGCCACCATGTGGTTGCCGGGAATTGAACTCAGGACCTTTGGAAGAGCAGGCAATGCTCTTAACCACTGAGCCATCTCTCCAGGAGTTTGATTTTATCACAGGTAATTTACCTTAGTCCATGTTCAGCTTACCCAGTCACCCATTTGTGCTGTGGTTCAGGGTTTTCTGTGCTAAGAACTCATTAAAATTCCCTGGGAATCTTGGGTTCCAACACAGGTCTGTAAAACAAAAATTCCAGAGGTGTGCCCTATGTGAGAGCGTTTTTAACGACTTTCCAGGCGAAAGGGGGCGCTATAGGGAAGTATCAAAGGAGAGCACGGTGGGCAGACAGCTTCACGACTTCACCATCCTGTTTCTTGTAAGGTGCTGCCTGGCCGCCTATTGGATGCATGAATGAATGCCCATCTTTCTGCCTTCCCATTCAAGTAAAAACTAAGTGTTGGTTCTAGCCTTGCTTCCTACAGGGACCCGTGTACTGAGGCCCTGTACCAGTTAGAGGAAAAACTCTTGTGTTGTAGCTCTAAGGATTGTCAATCTTTAGAGACCGGGAATGGTCTTGTCCCTCCTGCTTATGATGGCATTTCCATCTTGTGATTATTAAAACATTCATACAACCAGAATCGCACATCAAGTAGCAGGAGGCTGGTCTTGGCCTTCTCTAGCTGCATCCTAGACTTGAAGATAAACCTGTGTCTTAGGGTTTTTATTGCTGCGAAGAGGCACCATGACCATGGCAACTTTTATAAAAGGAAGCGTTTAATTGGGGCTGGTTTACAGTTGCAGTGGTTAGTCCACCATCATCATCGTGGGAAGCATTGCATCAAGACAGGCAGACATGGTGCTGAAGATGTAGCTGAGACTTTTACATCTGGATCTGCAGGCAACAGGAAGAGAGAGAAACAGGGCCTGGCTTGGCCTTTTGAAGGTCAAAACCTACCCACAGTGACATATTTCCTCCAACCAGGCTATACCTCCTAATCCTTCTCAAGTAGTACCCAGAGGGGACTCCCACAACAGGTACACAGCTCGCTTTGTTTTGAGAATCCAGGAAGTGAATGGATCAAAGGGTTTTATAATGCTATGAAGGGAAGGGTAGTTCACACACACACACACACACACACACACACACACACACACACACGGGAGGACAAGTGCTCTAAAATATAAGCTACAGTATCTTATAATCTTAACTATCATACAGTGTCTTCATTCTTTAAACATATAACTCAAGGTTAGTATATGATGACTAAGCATTCGAATCTATGAGCCTATAGGGGCCATTTTTATTCAAATCCCCATGACCTGACATATCATAGTCCTTACGAGCGCTCATTACAGATCAGACAATAGGATGCGGAGCTGCCGAGTCAGCAGCCACAGAAAAGATCTCAGAATAGAGCGTGAAGAGCACCAAGTGCTCATGAGATGTGGATCCTGACTTCTGAATAGCCCCGAGCCTAGAGAAATAGGCTTCCTTCACTTTGGAGTGGATTTGTGTTCATCTGTAAAGGTTTTTTGCACTTATTTTGTGAATTAGTTTAATTCATGAGCTTCTGCAAAGATCACGACTACTATATAATAGACAATTTTTTTTAAAATAAGAGTACCTTTGAGTATTAAAATATTTGAGTTGATAATGTAGAAGGCGTGCACATATTTATGGTTAATAAACCTTCAGGCCAGTGCACATCTGAAAGGCTACACGTAAAGAACTGCCATGACCAGGCAAGCAGAGCCTGGTGGAGGTGGATGACACAAAAGGCTTGCTATGTTAGTGTTCACTTCTTCCCTAGCAAATAATGAATGTGACTTATTGTTAAATTTCTCCATTTTGCTCTGAAATATGTTAACTAAAACTGGATTTATAAAATTAATTTATAGAGACTTTCTGGCATAACTGCTGTATTTGGAGAGGCCCTGAGAAGACTGACATGTCCCACGAGTTGACGGTGGCCATGTGATGGTAATCCATGTGATAGACAATCTTTGGGTTACTGACAGGTTATTCCTCAGTGAAAATGGCTTCCTGGAGCTGAGCTGTGGACACCTCCTTAGGGGAGGGGATATGGGCTGACGAGGAATATCTGTCAAGGTCTTAGGTGGAGGAGTTGACCATAAATTGGTTTGTGTCCTTGATGCTTTGTTGAGTTTTGCTTACACCTCTTGTGGTGGTTACTTGGATATGGTAACTTGTCTAGACCGTGGTATCAGTGATTTGGTCAAACGCTGGTCTAAATGTTGCTGGGAAGGTAATTTTTAGATATGACTAACATTTGAATCATCACATTTGGGTAAAGCAGACTATCCTCCATGATGTGGTTGGCTCTCATACAATTAGTTGACAGAGGTCAAATGAGGTTTGCTGAAGTTGAAGTAATTCTCAAGACGGAGACATGGAAATTACATCACTTTCCCCAGTTGCTGCCCTAATGAACTGGTGTTCAAGATGGCAGCACAAGCTCTTATTGTGTCCCCACTGGCTTTCATTGCACACCTTAGCTTCTGAGTTCCAACATCTCAGGGGATAAGTCCGTACAAGAAATCTTTTTTTGGTGAATCTACCTCTTTTAAGAGAGATAGAAAACTGACTAACATAGTGTACTGTCTGGTTTTGTGTGTCAACTTCATGCAAGCTAAAGTCACCAGTCACCAGAGGAAGGAGCCTCAGCTGAGGAAATAGCTCCATGAGATCCAGCTGCAAGGCATTTTCTCATTTAGTGATCAATGGGGGAGGGCCCAGCCAATGGTGGGTGGTGTCTTCCCTTGGCTGCTGATCCTAGGTTCCATAAGAAGGTAGATTGAGCAAGCCATGGGAAGCAAACCAGTAAAACAGCACCCCTCCACGGCCTCTTCATCAGCTCCTGCCTCTGGGGTCCTGCCCTGTTTGAGTTCCTGTCCTGACTTCCTTCAGTGATGAACAGCAATGCAGAAGTGTAAACTAAGTAAACCCTTTCCTCCTCAGCTTGTGTTTTGGTCATGGTGTTTCTCTGCAGCAACAGAAACCCTGACCAAGACCCAGACTCCAGGAGGAAGTTGCCCGCTAAGCAGTGTGTACTGCAGAGTGGGACCAGTGGTTTTGAGGAAGAATGCGCGTGAGCTCTGGATCTGGGTCCCTTGAATTTGAACCCAAATCTGAAACTTCCCAGCTGAGCGGTCTTCAACAAGTTATCTAACCTTAATGAGCTGCAGCTTTCTTTCTCTGTAACAAAAGACCACAGCTCTCATCTTCTGGCAGGCTCTCAGTCATCGGCGGCTCCTTCAGCAAGACTGCATCGGGCCACTGGTTAACCCTCTCCACCCTCCTCCCTTCCTATGCCCCTTGTTTCTCCCCTTCCCTTCCTGTATAGGCTTGGGTAGCTTCAAACTCACCATGTAGCCCAGGCTGTAGCCCAGGCTGGCCCAGCACTCTAGGTCTTCTTTAAGAGCCTTTTCTCTTTACTCTACCCTGCTTATGGGACTGTTCATTCCTGATAAATAAAAATACACCCTTTCACCTTTTATTACACTTTTTTTTTTTTTGGCAAAAAAGGCTTAGGAATAAGCCAGTGCCAAAATTCTGGTAGTAACCAGAACTCAGGAAAAGTTGTGTGTTCATATATAACCTAGGAGACACAGTAGGAAAATGATGTTTGTTTCCCTTTAGTCAACTCCTGCATGTGGCCGCCTTTCTGCCTGCGTGAAGGGAAGATGGCACTGATTCATGTCATTTAGAGGAACCCCTGGAATCGTTCACGAAAAGCACTTAGTGATGCCGGGATCATAGTAAGAGCTTAGTTACCTAAGAGTAGTAGCCAGCAGCAACTTCAGGAATTGATGTTGGTAGCTGCCAACTTGGACCCTTCCTTTCACTGCCTTTTCTCCAATTACCTCGGTCTCTTGTGCCCGAAATAATCAAATCCGATTCCTAGATTAAAACTGCTGTTCCCTTTCCAGGTTATATTGGCACTATTCTGTATGGCTTCCCTAGGGCACTGCAACCCAGTGATGTCGTAGAAATTAAATCATGCGCTGAAATCATTTAGCGGCTCTAAAGCTAAAAGCCTTCCTTGGCGCTAGTAGCGAGCCCCGTGCCTACCCTGTCATCTGGGGCCAAGAAAGACTCAGTTTGTTTTTCCCCTTGGCAGTCTAAATTCCGTCTGTCTTTCTAGGCCTTGTCCAGATTCTACGGATTTCCAGTGACTCAGATCTCCTTGGGTTTCCCCAGCTACGACGTGTGGTGGTATAGATTTGACGGTCATGTTTTTCTTGGCCACAAAAGCCTCTCAAAGGCATCTCGAGTCCTTCCATAGCCCGAACCGTCTGGGCTGGCCTCCTTTCCTGTGGGACCTCGTGTCTCCTCCTCCCAGACATTCGGGTTTCCTCACGTCTCCGTGAGCCTCGCTTTTGCACGCGTCTGGGGCTTTCCACTCTGACCTCCTGGCCTCACCTCTTCTTGCTTTCTTGTTCTCGTGGCTGCACTTTCACAGATTAGTGCCTTGTTAGCACAGAGGCATCTTGTCTGGGAAGCTATTACTCTTACCCGGGACCTTTGTGGGTTTTTTCCTCTGTCACAGTGTATGCCCCAGCTCAAAAATCCAAACCTGTTCAGTTACTCAGTTTAAACCCTACTCTTCTGTAAGATTATATGAGAAAAAAAAAAAAGGCAGGGTTCATGTCTGTTCTGTTCAATATTTTGACCTCCTGAACTCCCAAGCTAGTTTTCATGCGACTGAAAATGCCCTGTAATTATTTATGGGTGGATGCACAAACAGAAATGCTTCAACCCACAGGACTCTGGTTCACTGAGCCGTGCCCTGCACCGAGGTGTTCTGTAACTGTCTCTGTGGTTCTCAGACTTAGCGTCTAAATATTCAGTCATAGACGGGAGAGGGACTCCCACTAGGGGAAGTGATGGAGGGCCAGGGCTACGGGGGTGAAAAGCTGATTCATTGTCTTCTGTGCCGTAACCACCACCGTGTAACCCATGCTCCAGAGGAGAGCGCCACACTCCTGGCAGCTCACGGGGCTCTGGTGACACTGGTTAAGCCCAGTTGGTAACAAAGTGGAAAAAAAAAAAAAAACACCAAAAAAAAAGAGACAGGAACAGAGAGTGGAGATTTGGTGGGAGGAGAGGGTCTTGTGTAGGTTAGAGGGTGGTGGGCCATTGTAACCAGACCGTATTACATTCGTGTGTGAAACCATCAAAAAAACTATTAATTAAAAAGTCTTTGTGAAAAAAAAAGTCTTTGTGATTCTTTTTATTTTGCACTGTAGGAAATTTTAACAAGCTCCGTACAGTTCATGAGAGTAGCCGTGCCCTGACATACGCTGGGGCCCTCAGAATGAATCTGTTCCACCTTGGCTAAAGGTCAGAGAGCTCAGACCTGTTCTTGCTCCTTCAAGGTTGTAGGACAGGATGCTTGACCTAAGTAGTGGTTACAGGACGTTCTGCCTGGGCAAAAGTATGTTTTGACCAAGGGTGTGGTTTGATGTTTGGAGAGGTGAGGAGGAAATTGCTTTGTTCGTTCTTTGTATCATGGTAAAGAAGTCCTTTGCCATCCCCCTTGTGACTGGGGTATAGGAAAACTTTGAATAATGAACTCGAGGCTGAATGCAGTATTCCCTGGATGCTCTACGGATTCCCTCTGTTGTCTCTTGTCTATTCCTCTCCTCAATCCACATCCCCTCCTCTGGAGCACAAGGACCCATAGGGCTGGACCCAACAGAAATCGTATTTTGGGCCACTGCAGGCAGAGACACTGGGCCTTCTTGCTGCCCCACAAGTGATTTGGTAGGTGTGGGAGCTATAGTAACAGGGTACTGCTTAAATATGATCAGAAGTGTTCTTCACTTGTTGTCATCAAAACTACTTTTGGAGACTCTAAACTGTTCCCCCCTGATGTGGTTATGGTGTGTGTGTGGGAAAGCGTGGATTAGGGAGGTTAGCATCAAGCTGGAAAAGCAGGGGCTGGAGCTTTACCATTCTCAGTTCCAAAGTGGGGCAGGCAGCAGGGCTTCATCAGCCATGGGCACAGACGGCACAGACGGGCGAGACTCAACATCTGGTCCTTCATGAAAAATTCCTGTGTGCACCGAGCCGAGAAAAGACTGTGCTTTCCATTATTAAAGGGACCAGAATTAATTCTCCTCTGTGTCTCATCTTCTGGTCATTGGCGAATGACAACACTGTCCTTATAATGTCAGATGATAACAAATGCCTGGCTGGTTGCCACTGGCAACTTGATATATTGAGAGCATGTGTGGGCAGAGGTGGTAGGCCCTCTGCTGTCCTGATGAGAGCATTTACCCCTGGCAGATTTGGTGACCCCCTGGCAGATTTGGTGACCCCCCTGGCAGATTTGGTGACCCCTGGCAGATTTGGTGACCCCCTGGCAGATTTGGTGACCCTCTGGCAGATTTGGTGTCCTGTCAGACAGTGATGTGTGTGTGTGTGTGTGTGTGTGTGTGTGTGAGAGAGAGAGAGAGAGAGAGAGAGAGAGAGAGAGAGAGAGAGAGAGAGAGACCTCAAGTTCACCTTTAGTAAGGTGAATTTGTTCCTGGACTATGGCAACCCAGGCCCTAGTGCCAGTCCATAGCTGGCCTACTGTGCATGACCCAGCTAGGTGAGGGGTAAAATACCTGTATCCATCCAATCATCAGGGCCTCAGGGAAATTCCCAATCCCATCTAGACAGCAACCGTAAGCCACGTGTCAATTAAATTCTTTAGACAATTTCCACCAGGGTGGGTGTAGTGATATTTTGTTGATTTTTTTTTTAACAAATAAAGCTTGCCTGAGGATCAGAGTGCAGAGCTAAGCCACTAGAGGCCAGGGAGTGGTGGCACACACCTTAAGTCCTAGGACTCAGGAGACAGAGGGATCTCTGTTAGTTCAAGGCCACCCTGGGCCACACAAAATTGAATCTATCTAAAACAGAATTCAGACAAAGGAGCTCCCAGCACTTGGGATCCCACTCCTTTAATCCCAGCACCAGGGAGGTGGACACAGGAGTGATATGGCTGAGCAAGAGAGGACTATAAGGCGGGAGGAGGCAAGAGCTCATTGCTGTCTGAGGTTTGGTGGAGACAGATGCAGTCTGAGGACAGGATCACCCCTTGTGGTCTGAGCATCGGTAGAGGTAAAAGGTCTTTCTAGTGGCTGACCTCTCTGCTTATCGGATCCTTCAGCTTTCGTCCTCTAATATCTGACTCCGGGTTTTATTTATTAAGACCAATTAGAATTTGAGCTCCAGGGGGGTGAGACAGGCACTGAGGAGGAAGCTCTGGCAAGGATAGCAGGGAGTAGCAGAGCTCCTGTTGGCTTCCGGAATGCTGGACACCCACAGATTAGGCCTGATGGACCCTGGAAAGCAAGGCATTCTGGGTGCTCAGGCAGGGGGAGGGACTAACAATTCTCCACAGGAAGACACTGAAGACCAATTTAACTGTATCACTTTCTTGACTTTGCATTGGGCGTTTTGACTTCAGAGCTAATTAAATCAATTCGTCATCTTTTGTGGAACAGATAAATGGTATTTAAATGCTGGTTAGCCTAGAGGACATTTGCGTCATTAAAATCCAGGCAGTGGGCCACCTAAAATGCGTAGGTGAACGTTACGTTGCAGCAAGTTAAATGCCTGTAAGTGGCAAGGCTCCAAGCATTTCTGTGGCTGCCTCTGCCTTCTGTCGGGTTGTACTACACTTCTTCACTCTATACTCACGGGAGAAACTGCATCTCCACTAGGATTTTCTCCAACACTGTGTTCCTGCAAATGAATTCTTGGCTTAGACACCAGTACTATGTTGGGCAAAGAACACATGTTCTGCCTACATCTCAAGGGCCTGAGTGATTTCTTTTTTTCAAGGAGCTGTTTTCTTACCTGTAGGTTTAACTTCCCTAGCCACAGATGAATGGATCAGAAAAAGTGGCAGACAGATGACCCTTGATAACAATTGACCTTACCTTTCTAAGGTTGGTGGTGATGCGCTAGGTCTAACACCCCCTCCTAAAAATTTCAGCTTAAGATATAAGGGCCAGGTAGCTGGGATACTGTGGTGATATCTTGTTTGTACAAATAAAGCTTGCCTGAAGATCAGAGGGTAGTTAGCCACTAGCTAAACATAGAGGCAGACCTGGAGGTCTATACAGACAGACAGTGTAATTGAAAAATTAAAAATGCTGCGGATCCCCGAGTAGCTTGCTGCGGGATCCCGAAAGCAGCCAGTCCCAGGCAGGGACGGTGCACAAGACCACGTGACAGGTCTCTGAAGGTGGCTGGTCCCTGGCAGCAGCAAGCCATGTGGCTGCTGGTGGGCGAGAGATAGATGGATAGGCACACCATGCAGAGTGAGATTGGATATTTATTTAGTGGTTATGGAAGGAGGGGAGAAGGGGAGAAGAGCAGAGAGAGAGGGAGAGAGAGAGAGAGAGAGAGAGAGAGAGAGAGAGAGAGAGAGAGAGAGAGAGAGAGAGAGAGAGAGAGAGAGAGAGACGGAAACTGCCTCTCCAAGAGGGAGCTGGAAAAGAGAATGGCTTGTGGCTGGAAGCTGAAGATCAGCTTGCCTCAGTGGATGGGGGAGGGAGTGGGCGTGGCTTGTCTCTTAAAGAATCAGAATAACCTTTATAGACAGGAAGTGGCGTGGCTGGGCAGAGAGAGGAAGTGATAGGGTGGGAGGAGACAGGAGCCTACTCTCTTTTTGGCTGGGAAGTTTAGTAGGTGTTGTGCCTAGATTATGACCCCCAGAGAGAGAGACCACCAGAGGGGTCCAGACTGTAATAAACAAGGTTTAATCAGCATAATACAAACATGTTTGGAACTCATTTTCATCCCCGTTACAACAAGGTAGAGAGGAGTTGTATCTCCTCTGTGGGGGTAAGCTTTTAAAGACATAACTACAAAGAGAATCTTTGAAGATGCTTTGGCATGGGTACAAGGGCTTTGCTCCCTCCCATTCTGTTAAGTTAGCCTTTTCCTTGTTTTTAGAGCAAGGCCACTGTCCTTGAGTTAGACCATCTTTATTAGCTTGTACCAGGTGGCTGGCTGGGCTGAGCTAAGTGACCTTGTGCTTGGAATCTCCTGGGTGGGAGAGGGGAAGGCCACTATTTTCCTGGGAAAACATTCTGCTAGGAAATTTCTTCTTGCCCCTTTGAGAATAAGGGATGAGGGTCCCACAGTAGGTAAGGTGGCTGTGGTTTTGTTCTTCCATCTCTCTGATCTCTCGGCATTTCCCCTATATCTGATTCCTGGCTCATTATTAAGACCTATTAGAACTCATGATACAGGATGCCTCGGAGAAGCCTGTAAAATCAGGAAACAAGACAAGTCACAGAGAAGCAGAGACTTGAGTGAGCACTATGGGACTGGAGGGAGCATAGAAGAACAGGAGAGGTTGTCGGCTGGTAGCAGCGGATGAGAGCTGACTCTGTCTTGGCAAAGGATAACCCAGAGAATGCAATCTTCTGTAATGGGTGTGCAAGTGAACGTCAAAAGATTAAGGGCCTTGCACAAGATTGCATGGCTGTGTGGGGTAGGAGGTTTGGAGTGAGGCCCTAAAGTGTCTTAAGCCGCATTTTCCTAGGCTGACCATTAACTATTGGATAGCAGTTGGTGTGTTCTTTACTGGGGAGACTGTTTCTACTGCACCCAGCGTTCCTTAGTTGCCTGTAGGGGTGAGGCCTCCGGGGCTTTTTCACCCATCCACCTTAGTGTGTCTACTGCTGTTGTCCTTGTTCAGCCCAGGTTTAGGCAGCAATGTTGTTGAAATTTTCTGGGCGTAGTTTCTGATTTTTTTTTTATCAGACCAGAAACACATATCAGTAACATGAAATAGACGGAGTGGGTTATATTTAGGAATATATACATATATGTATATGACAACATTTAATGAAGAGGCTGTGACTTTGAACAGAAAGGAGGGATATATGGGAGATTTTGGAGGGAAGAATGGGAAAAGGGAAAATGCTGTAACTATATTAAACTCTCAAAAAAAATAAAAGAAACAGCAACAACAATAATAACATTCTTCTACTAGCAGACCCCTGTTGTCTTTCTCTTTTTTTAAATTATTTTCTTGAAAATTTCTTATATGACTATGATGGTATTTACATCATCGTAGTGATATTTCATTTGTATTTTAATAAATAAAGCTTGCCTGAAGACCAGAGAGTTAAAACAGCCACCCTGGTAAGCCCAACATACCAGTGTTGTGGGAGGTCCTGTCTGCTTCTCCAGCCAATAGCTGCTGAGATACCAGCCCATTGGGGTGTAGTCTCTCCCCTTTAAAAAAAGCGGCCAGGCAGTGGTGGCACACACCTTTAATCTCAGTAGCCACACTAGTTTGCCGTAGAAACCAGCGGTAGTGGTGCATGCCTTTAATGCCAGCCCTAGAGAGGAATATAAAATGGGAGGAGACGGCTCTCACTCACCGTCTCATTCTGGGATTCCTGGAGGCAGATAGCCATTTTGGGTTGGGGTCAAGGTAAAGAGCCAGTGGCTGACTGTTTTGGTTTTCTGACCTTCAGGTTGAACCCCAATATCTGTGTTAGGTTTTTTATTAATTGTGCTACACGTCATATTCTTCCCTCCTATCCCCTTCCATCCTCATGTCCCTCTACACTCACTCTCGACTTCGTGGCCCCTTTGCCTTTGATTATATGTAATATATATAGAATCATGTGCTGCGTGTGTGATATATATGATGTATATCTCCTACTTAGTCTGTTTAGTGTTCTCATGCACATGTCCTTAGGGATGAACACATGAGGTGTGGCTATATCCTTCCTAACAGACTTCTCAGAGGACTTCAATACCCAGGGCTGTCCTGTGACCGCCTCTAGCAGTTGGGCATTCTGGGATGGCGAGAACATTACCTAGGGTGCAGTGCAGGGCAAATCAATGGAGGGGCTCAATAGCAGCTTCTGCTATGAGGGCTTCCCCTACCCTTCCAGAGTCACAGCTCCTGAAATGAACTTCTCTCTTCCTTTTCATGCCTTTGCCTAGGGGAGAAGCCTGGGACTGAGCCAGAGGAGGTGAAGCTTCAGCATGCCAGCAAGCAGATTGTACAGAACGCCATCCTGCGAGCCATGCAGCAAGTCTCCCAGGAGAGCCTGCGGAGGGAAGGCAGACCCAGTGACAGCCGGGCCAGGGGCCAGCTGGGAGGGTGCGAGCTGACCAAGAAGCACGAGAAGAAGTAATAGGTGCTGGCTCTGGCTCTTGTCATCCCGGTTTCTGCCTTTTCTGGTAGTGTAGGACGTGCCACCAGATGTCGCCAAGAGGCAAACCAAAGTGTCATGGATGCCCATCAGTAGGATGAGTTCATGCTCGTCTTTGTGACAAGCTGTGGTTTGCAAACCTGTGTTAGGGACTCTTCGTATATCTGTGGGGAGACTGGGAGCAGCTGAGCCAGATGTGGGTTTCACACTGCAGACGTCATTTTGTAACACAACCTATTTTCCTATTTCTTTTTTTAAAAAAAGGATTCTACGTCATATTTATTTATGCATTTTTTCCCATGAATTCAACCAGCGGTCTTTATTGCCCTTCTGAGTCACTGAGGGTGGTTCTGTGTTCTTCATAAATATTAAAAGACACACTAGAAAGATGAGGGACTGGAGCTTTAGCCCTGTTCAAACAGACAATTGGTGACTTTTCTGCTGGAGAGTTCAGGTTCAAGGTCAAAGTGCGCAGAGCAGAATCCAGCCCCAGCCCTGTACTAGAGCTTATGTTTATATTTCTCCAAGGAAGGACTGTGTTTATGCCGTGTGAGACCTCAGTCTTTTCTCTGTTCTCGGAGCTGTTCGCTGGCATTTACCTTCTGTGCAGAGATCTGGTGGGGACAGCACAGATATTTCTTCTTAACTCAAGATTAAAGGAGGTGGCCGAACCTGCACGCATGAGTTTTCTTCGGCAGTCTAAAGGGAACAGCACACACTCTGAGCTTCTAGCTGCTCCCCATCCTGGACTTACCGACCCTTGAAGCTGAAGAGGGCAGTCTCCTTGGCCAGGCTGAGCCCGGTGGCGGCTATGCTATCCACCCAGCTGTGCATCTTCGCTAGTCCCTTACTGATAGATTTCCCTCTCCCACGAAAAGAATCAGCGTGACTTTTTTTCTTTTAACATTATCAAAATTATAAGGCTGGGAATGAGAGCTGTGAAGACATGGAAAACTTTTTTTTTTCTTTTTAATTCTCCAAGGCGTGCGAACAGAATGAGAAGAGGAACGTGGCTGCGGGCTGAAGGCATTTGGAGAGACGTGTGTGCACGTGTGTACCAACACAGCCACCTCCATTCAACACGACAACCTCCTGCTGCTCCTGTGTGGACAGCAGGCGTCTCTCTCGAGTCTTTCAGAGCCTCCTTTACTGTGCTTCGTGAAAACCGCTGAGTTGGTGCTACTGGGGACAGAGGAAGAAGTCAACCTTGGTTAAAACCCTCCAGGCTATAAAGTATCAGTGTCTACACCGGCATTCACTCGAAAAGCCACATATTGCTAGTGTTTACACATCTCCGAAATTCAAATCTGCCCTACTATGTGCGGCCGGGGGATACTACAAATAACAATAAATGAAAAAAAATTACCTTCACCACATTAGACTATATTTGGTGATGCACAGGTGGAACAAATTAATCCTGGGAGAGAATTCACGAGGGAAAAAAGAGGGGGTTAAATTTTAGATATTGTTTATTCATCAATTTTTTTTTTTAAAAAGCAGAACTCATGGCAATTAAAGAACGAACTTAAGTCAACCTAAAATCATACGGCTGAATTTATGGCGGTCTCAAAGCATGGGCGATGGGAATAAGTATATTTGGAGAAATTTTTCATACGTGCCCACAAATAAGAAACATACCCTGTGCCTGTAGTTTGCAGGTGGCCTGACACTGTGTCTCTGCTAAGACTCTACCCAACCTTGTTTTACTGTCAAATGGCAGAAACATAAATATGTTACCTTTCTTCTCTGGCGTGTATGCACTAATAAACAAGGGATCTGGGAAATATTATTGATTTCTGTATCTAAATACTATTTATAAATAAATTATATCTAGCTTTGAAATATGTATCCATGTAAAGCAGTTTTCTATACGTTCTTGTTTGGCTCATATTACATGTGACTCTTACCTGCAGAAAGGCTTTCCAGGGAAATGTGTCTTCAAACTCTTCCATACCACAGGCAGAGTGCCAACTGTTTGATGTCCCTTTAGCTTGACTAAGGAGAGCTTTGAATTTGAGCTGATAAAAGACAAATGAAAATAAATCTGTAAGGAATGGTGTGATGGTTTGAATAGGTATGGCCCCCGTAGGCTCCTGTGTTTAAATACTTGGCCCTATAGAGAGTGGCACTATTAGGAGGTGTGGCCTGATTGGAGTAGATGCGGCCTTGTTGGAGGAAGTCTGTCACCATGGGAAGAGGCTTTGAAGTCTCGTATGCTCAAGTTCTGCCCAGTATGAGTGAGACACAGCCTCCTTCTGCTGCCTGCGGGTCAAGATGTAGAATTCTCAACTCCTTTTCCAGCACCATGTCTGCCTGCATGCAGCTTCGCCATGACAATAATGGACTAAAACCTCTGAGACTGAAAGTCGGCTCCAACTAAATGTTTTCCTTCCTTTCTAAAAGTTGCTGCGGTCTTGGTGTCTCTTCACAGCAGGAGAAACCCTGACTAGGACAAATGGAGAGGGTGTGTGGACAGGGTGAGTGCAGAACAGAGCTTCTACCAGTACAAAGTGGAGAGAAGAGAGTTGTGACCGTTCCATCACAAAGGAAAAATGCACACTGGCATGTCTCATGGGCATGGAAGGGTGACTAACAAAACCCAGGACACAGGTAAGGGAAATGACATCACGGTAATGATTTCACCTGATAAAGAAAGGATTTATATGGCTTCAACTAGAATGATCTAGTTCATAAATCCAAGGAGCTCCAATTGTTTACCGGTTTTTCTAGTTCCTTCTTAGTGGCAATGCATCAGAAAATAATAGAATAGGAGAGAGTTATGCAAATCGCAGTCATTCTTTCAGCTTCCGCCTTCTCTTTTTACCTTTCCAATAAATTCAGAAAAAAATCGAGTATAATGTCCAGGCAGTGAGATGTCTCTGTCAATTCTAGAATTCTGGAAGTAGCTTACAATGCACTTCTTCTTTTCTTAGGTAATATTATATCCTTCTGGAGTCTTTGATAGAGTTGAAGAATTTATAGTTATGTTTTTTTTAGTTATGATAAGAGATAAAGTAGATATAAATACTGTAACTATAATTCTTGCCTGTTTTTTTATATGTAGTTTTACTATGTTAAAGTTAAAACCTTTCTTTTCATTTAAGCAGAAAAGAGGAGGTGATGTGGGATTCTCCTTTGTATGCTGTGAATACCACTGGTAAATAAAGAAACTGCTTTGGCCTGTTGTTGATAGGGCGGAACTTAGGTAGGTGGGAAAAACTAAACTGAATGCTGGGAGACAGAAGGCAGAGTCAGAGAGAAGCCATGTTGCCCAGCCAAAGACAGATGCCGCAACTTTAGCTGGTAAGCCACAGTCACGTGGTGATACACAGAATAATGGAGATGGGTTAAATTAATATGTAAGAGCTAGCCAGTAAGAAGCTAGGGCTAATCGGCCAAGCAGTGATTTAATTTAGTTTCTATGTGATTATTTTGGGAGTTTGGGAAATGAACAAGTGGCTTCCTACAACGGACTTTAATCATGTCTTTTGCCAGGAGAAGAATCCTTTGATGAACAGAATGAATTTTGTTGGATATGATGGCCAATGGTACCTTTGCAGAGGAAAATATTTCTTTTGACTATTAGAATGAGGCTGAAGGTTGTTCATAGTTTAAATAATGAGAGAAAAGAATGTTCTATTCTTTTTTTTTATATTTCTTTTTTTCTTTTTCTTTTTTTTTTTAAAGAATGTTCTATTCTTATACTATTCTTCAGTGTTGAAAGCAGTTGCTATTGTGGCCTGTGCCTTTTTTCCAGCTGAGTTTTTATTTAACTGAATACGTACCAAGTTTTTATTTAACTGAATGGAACATAGGCCACGCTCCTGGTGTCTTGTGTTTAAAGGATGGTTCTCTTGCACATGCTCACATGAACGATTCACTAATTGAGTTATTTGTGTGATGACACTGTTGACATCCGTCCATATGTCCTCAAACTTGCTGTTTCTCTATGCACAGATGGCATCCTGCTGCAGAGGCTGTCAATTTGTCCTGTGGGTTTTTCTACCTATAGCTGTGTTCTCAGCCCACATAAGGAGCCAGCTGGAAATACAAGAGAGGCCCCAGGCATTGGCGAATGGGAGCTGGGGCATAAACACCCCAGCTTTCCTAGCCTCAGGTGGACCAACTCAGGAGTCATCTCCTGGCCTCCCAGAAGTCCTAGCAGCTGTTTTCTAGTGGAGGCCAGATGTGTATAAACCTATATTTCTCCTTCTCTTGTCTCTCCTGCTTTCTTTTGGTCAAATCAACCAACCATGTTTACTCCAATTCTGTCTCAGCATCTACTTCAAAGGAGCCCACACTGAGGGTCCCATGTTTCCATCAAAGAAAGCTGAAACTATTTATGGTTTGTGCCTCCATGCATGGAAATGGGAGGAGACTTTCTCCACAGCCAATCAGTGCCAGTCAAAGTCAGCTAAAGTTATGCTTGAAGTCACAGACACCCGGAATTATTATCAACAGCTCACCTTCCATCTGTCTCCCTCGTGTGGCTCTCTTCAAATCCTTCCATGTTTGCTCTTCAACAATCTTTTCCCTGCCTCTGCGGACCTTCTTCCTCACCATCATCCCCAAACAATTTAGAGCATAACAGTAAAAGGCAGGGAGGGGAGGGAATGGAAAGAAGAAGCGGGGCAAGAGGCTAAGATGATTGCGGAAAGGAGTGTGTTTATGTGTGTAAGCGTGTGTGCTTGCATTTAACTTCCAAAGCCAAATACGTAGGCTTAGGTTGAAAGTAGTAATTTTTTTTAAAATCTTGGTTCTACTAAGTGACAAAGTAAGCCCATTTTATAACAGTTCCTAAAGATATGAATAATTTATAGAAGGACATTGTAGCTTGATCTCTTCCCAGTGACGGGGCCCTATGGTATCAGGAAAATTAAAAGTAATTCTCTCTAGACACAGATTTCCATAAGCCAGAATTCCCAAGAGAACTCTTCCCTCTTCCCCTCACCTCCAAGAGGCCTTGGACACACTAGGTAAGAGCTCAACCATGGAACAAATCTCCTAGCCCAAGAATTATTCTCCTGAGATGCTTCATAGACTTCAAATCCTGCTATTATTTTTAGGAAATAAGACAAAACCAACATAAAAACAACAGAAAGGGGGCTGGAGAGATGGCTCAGTGGTTAAGAGCATTGCCTGTTCTTCCAAAGGTCCTGAGTTCAAATCCCAGCAACCACATGGTGGCTCACAACCATCTGTAATGAGGTCTGGTGCCCTCTTCTGGCCTGCAGACAGAATATTGTATACATAATAAATAAATAAATATTTAAAAAAAAACAACAGAAAGTCTGCATAACAGAAACTCTATTATTTTTACAAGGTGGTTTTCTTTCTGGTGTAGCCTCAGATCCTGATGTGGCTCAAATATTTTTATTTTTA